TACGTGTCGAAGAGATTTCCTGTGATACCCTCGATGGTGTCGTCTAGGGGCAGCACATGGATGCGCTTCCCATATGGCACATCACCACAGGCATGAACCGAAATGATGTCGCCCAAGCGCACGCGCAGGTTCTTGCGGACGACCTTGTTCATTCGAATCTTGCTGTCGTCTAAGTTCTCATCAGCCAGGACGATGCACACTGTGTCCTTTCGCTTCTTGCCCTTGATCAACACATTGTCGCCACGGAAGAGGTTGAGCTCCTCCATCTTCGCTTGCGACAAAGAGATTACCTGAGGAATTCGTCAGCACCACACACATGCTAACTGCACGATTCAACAGCAGTCTCCGTTCGTCCATCTGTTCCTGGTAATGTATAATATCTGCAACCAAGGCTCCGAATTGTCATCGTTCAGCGCCTCCTCCACAACCAACCGATTGGGCGAGCGCTTCTTCTGAGGCTTCGCCGGGTCCGCCGGGACCGGCGCAGCGGGTGGCGCGGGCTCTTCAGCGGCCATATCTGGCCACTATGACACAAGACTTGACTTGGGAGCCTGGCGATCTGAGCCACGAGCACGCAAACAGCCTCTTTTGCGATCCAAGTCAAAGTCCGCATGATTGGCACACATACTGGCCTGCGTGTCCCACCAAGAATAAACTGCGTGATTTTGGCGGGTGGGTCATGCCTGGGCCTGAATGGCCAAACATTCGGTAGCTGTAGCTCCTTTGTCGTGTCTTCCACGTCTGTTCGGGTTCGGTGGAAATGTCTCGCCTTGGATTGCCAGGCATCCCACATGCCAGTTCCTTGCAGACGCTGGCTGTGAAGGACTTTCGTTGTGCCACAAGGTTGGAAGGAACAGGCACGATGTGGGACCCCGACAAGCAAGCGGAAAATCACTACATCTGAGTTGTTCCAGAGAACGAAACAGGCGTGTTTGTCACAAACTCGCCTGATCTCAAAATCTTTCGACAATTTTCAACATAGTCATTGTACACATGGAGGTTCTATAGGTGTGCCATGAATGATCGAATTGTGACGAACTGAAAGTAGCACGTCTTAACCGTAGAGGTCGTCGTCATCGTCCGCAGC